TCGAACTACCAAGCTCCACAGCCAAATTACCAAACCAACTCATATCCAAGATATCAAGCCCCTCGTCCAAACGCTCCAAATTATTGTCAAATGCCTCCTCCTCAACAAGGAAATTACGATTCCCCCCATCCTAGATTTGAGAAAAAGCCCGCTAGATTTTTCACTCCGCTCATTGAAAGCTGAACAAAGTTGTTTGAGCGATTAATTGAGGCAAGATATATTCATCCAGATGGGCCCAAGTCAATTGACACTAGCTCAAGGTTTTATAGACCTGATCAGAGGTGTGCATATCACTCCAACGATGTTGGACATGATACCGAGGACCGTATCAACCTGAAGCATAAGATCTAAGATCTGATTAACCAAAAAGTGATCTCTCTCCAGATAGTCGCGCCCAATGTCAATAGTAATCCTTTGCCAAATCATAAAGGTGTCACTATCAATATGATAGAGACGGATGATGATTGGTGTGTGACTAAGGCAATAGTTCTGATCGCTCCTGATGAACTGGAAATGGATGTAGCTTCGTTGAGTTTTAGAGAGGAGAAAGAGTTTGTGATTCTGACACCCGAGAAGGTTGTTGCCTTGGTGCCAAGAGAACCTCTTACCCGATCGAAGTTTGTGATTGAAACGGCTGTTACCCAGGGTATGACCAGATTCGGCAGGTGCTACACACCAGAAGAGCTAGCCCAGGGAGTGCAGAAAAAAGATCAGTCTAAAAAGACAATTAGTGAAGCAGAAGCGGAAGAGTTCTGGAGAATAATGTAACCAAAATATTACTCAATCGTGAAGCATCTGGAGAAAACACGTGCTCAAATTTCCGTATAGGCCTTGCTGATGAGTTCACAACTGCACAGACAAGCTTTGATGAAGGCTTTAGATGACACTTATGTGCGTATGGGTACTAACAGTGATAATCTGGCAGCCATGATAAACCAAGTTGTTCGAGGACATTGCATCAGCTTCTGTGATGAAGAGCTGCCCTTTGAAGGCAAGATGCACAACAAAGCTCTGAACGTCACCATTATATGCCGAGACAAGGTCATAAATCGCGTCTTGGTCGATGACAAATCTGGTCTCAATATTTGCCCACTTTCTACTCTGAAGCAGCTAAACTTCGACTTGGGAAAGGTTCACCAGAACCAAGTCAATGTGAGGGCTTTCGATGGAGTGCAAAGAGACACGTTGGGTGCAGTAAACTTGGGAATTCAGATGGGTCTTGCAGAGTTTAACGTGGAGTTTCAGGTGTTGGATATCAACACCAGTTAAAACCTGCTTCTGGAAAGACCGTTTATCCATATGGTTAGAGTTGTGTCGTCTACCCTTCACCAATTGATAAAATTTATTTGGAAGGACCAGGAATTGGTCATTCATGGTGAGGGGATTCATTCCAATGGGTATGCACTGATCGTTGATGAGGTCTCCCGAGGTTGTGATTTCTACACGGTAGAGCTGGTAAATGCCACCGGTGATGATTTGGCTCCCCAGCCCCATATGTCTTCTGTGTATAAGATGATTGCTATTGTTATGCTCTGAAGCAATTTCGAACCAGGTTTCGGATTGGAGAAGCATTTTCAAGGAACCGTCGAACCTATCGAAATTCTCGCAAATGGAGCAAAGTTTGGTTTAGGGTATGTCCCTACAGATGATGAAGCAGAGATGAAGAACAAGAGTGTTGATCAAGCATTGGCCAGGCCAATTCCTCATTTGTACCAACAATTTCCAATATGAGAGTATGTCGACGATGGTGGTCTCGGGGAAGGAATTTTGGGCCTTTTCGAGGAGATAGATGCGGTCATCGAGGAAGAGGCTGGGACATCAGGCATATGTGTTGCAGAACCTGAGAAGAAATTGCAAAATTGGACTTCCACACCACTCCTAATTCCCCGCTCATTTGGGTAGAAAGGACATGTGTTTATATTTGTTTTTAAATTCGGTGGTAGTCCGGAAGAGGCCCGAGACCCACCCTTTATGCAATTTTTACTTGTTTGAGTTTTTTAAATTCCCCCGTAATGTTTAAAAAGGCAAAATGGCCCATGGCCATGGCCGAAGTTTGTGCTTGTCTTTCAATTTAAATGAAAAGTCTCTTTTGTCGAAAATTTGTTTATCTACCCAGCTGATTATGTTTTATTATTCTAACTTTGTTTGTTTATGATTTCAGTAATAATAATTTAAAACTTGCCAATGTCATGTTATGAACCGAGTGAACAAAATGAAGCAAGTGATGACGAATGCGAGGAATATGAAGAAGAAAATAAGGTAACTGAACATGTTGCTGAAGAGTTCTGATAATTTGAGAACCAACACGAGCCAAATCTTAAAGAAACTGAGACTGTGAATCTCGGAGATGAGGAATGCATCAAAGAAGTCAAAATCAGTGTCCATCTGATCGAAGCTCAGAGAAGGGACTTGGTTCGTTTGCTTAGATAATACATTGATGTATTTTCCTGGTCTTACATAGATATGACAGGGCTGAGTACGAATATGGTGTCCCACAAATTGCCGATTAATCCAGAATTCAGTCTAGTAAAGCAAAAGACTGTAAAGTTTAAGCCTGAGTTGAGTTTAAAGATCAAAGAGGAGATTGCCAAGCAGATTGAGTCTCAAGTAGTGGAAGTGACACAATATCCAACTTGGTTAGCCAACGTTGTTCCAGTTGCCAAGAAAGACGGAAAGATCAGAATCTATGTTGACTACAGAGATCTCAACAAAGCAAGCCCAAAAGATAATTTTCCACTGCCAAACATCCACATTTTCATTGATAATTGTGCTAAGCATGAGATGGAGTCATTTGTAGATTGTTATGCGGGTTATCACCATATCCTCATGGATGAAGTAGATGCAGAAAAGACAACTTTCATTACGCCTTGGGGTGTATATCATTATCGGGTGATGCCTTTTGGTCTCAAAAATGCCGGTGCTACTTATATGAGGGTTATGACCACCATCTTTCATGATATGATTCATAAGGAGATCAATGTGTATGTAGATGATGCCATAATCAAATCCCGCGAGAGTTCGAATCACTTGACTCATTTAAGGAATTTTTTTATCGTCTGTGTCCATACAATTTGAAGTTAAATCCCGCTAAATGTGCTTTTGGAGTGCCAGCTGGCAAGTTGTTGGGATTTATAGTCAGTAGGAGGGGCATAGAGCTTGACCCTTCCAAGATCAAGGGGATTCAAGAGTTATCTCCTCCGAAGACCAAGAAAGATGTGATGAGTTTCCTGGGAAAGCTGAACTACATCAGCCGGTTCATAGCTCAATCCACCGTGGTGTGTGAGCCCATCTTCAAGTTGTTGAAAAAAATGCCTTGACCAAGTGGACCGGAGAATGTCAAACTACCTTTGATGCCATCAAGAACTATTTGTCCAATCCACCGGTGTTGGTTCCTCCACGGGAAGGAAGTCCATTGTTACTGTATTTGTCTGTGTCGGATAACGCATTTGGATGTGTGCTTGGTCAACATGATGAAATAGGGAAGAAAGAGCGAGACATCTACTACTTAAGCAAGAAATTCACTCCATATGAAGCACGTTACATTCTTTTAGAGAGGACATATTGTGCTTTGACCTGGATTGCTCAGAAGTTGAGACATTATTTGTCTTCGTATACCACGTATCTCATTTCCAAGATAGACCTATTGAAGTATATTTTTCATAAAGCTATGCCAACCGGGAAGTTGGCTAAATGGCAAATGCTCTTGAGTGAGTTTGACATTGTGTATGTGACTCAGAAGGCGATAAAAGCACAAGCCTTGGCTGATCTTCAGTTGATGAGGAGTACGAACCGCTTAAGACTTATTTTCCCGACGAAGGTGAAGATATTTTTTAAGCATACCCTGGTTGGAGAGTATTCTTTGATGGAGCGAAAAACCACCAAGGGAAAGGTATCGGAGCGGTCTCAGTGTCAGAAACCGGTCAGAATTATCCTATGGCGGCTAAACTCCGATTTAATTGCACAAACAACATGGTTGAATATGAAGCTTGCATCCTTGGTCTGAAGATGGCAATTGACATGAACGTTCATGAGCTGTTGGTTATTGGAGATTCAGATTTGCTAATTTACCAGGTTCAAGGAGAATGGGCCGTGAAGAACCCAAAGATCACGCTGTATGTGCGGTATATACAAAAGTTGTGCAAGAGATTTCGCAAGATTGAATTCAGGCATACTCCCAAGACACAAAATGAGTTGGCCTATCCTATTGCCACCATTACATCAATGATTAAGCATTCAGATACAAGTTATATTGATCCAGTGGATATAGAGGTAAAAGAGCAGCATGTCCATTGTTCACATGTTGAAGCAGAACCAGATGGTTTACCTTGGTATTTTGACATCAAGAAGTACTTGAAGACCGAAATTTATCTCGAGAATGCAACGTTCAATCAGAGAAGTTGATACACCGTATGGCCCTCAATTTCTTTCCGAGTGGGGAAATCCTTTATATAAGGACTCCAGATTTAGGTCTTCTCAGATACGTTGATGTTAGTGAAGCTGCAAAGTTTCTTGAACAGATACATGCTGGAGTCTGCGGTACTCATATGAATGGGCTTACTTTGGCAAGAAAGATCCTTTGAGCGGGCTATTTTTGGATGACTATGGAATATAATTGTTGCAAGTTTGTGTAGAAATGACATAAATGTCAGGTGCAAGGTGATTTGATTCGAGTGCCGCCTCACGAACTCAATGCTATGAGTTCACTTTCGTTTGTAGCTTGGGGCATGGATGTCATTGGTCCAATAGAGCCCACTGCCTCTAACGGACACAAATTCATTTCGTTGCCATTGACTACTTCACCAAGTGGGTGGAAGCAACTTCGTATAAGTCGGTGACCAAGAAGGTTGTAGCTGATCTTGTTCGCAATAATTTGATATGTAGGTTTGGAGTACCAGAATCCATTATTACTGATAATGGAGCGAATCTCAACAATCACTTGATGAGAGATATGTGAACAGTTCAAGATTACTCATCGAAATTCAACTACTTATCGTCCCCAAATGAATGGAGTTGTTGAAGTTGCCAACAAGAATATCAAGAAGATTTTGAGAAAAATGATTAACAATCACAGAGGTTGGCACAAGATGTTGCCCTATTCTTTGTTGGGTTACAGAATGACCGTCAGAACGTCAATCGGAGCTACTCCATACTTGTTAGTATATGGAACAGAAGCAGTTATACCTGTAGAGATTGAAATACCTTCATCGAGAATTATCCTAGAAGCTGAATTAAGTGATGTTGATTGGGTTCGAAAGCGGATTGTTCAGTTAACATTGATTGATGAGAAGAGAATGGTTATTGTTTGTCATGGTCAACTGTATCGACAAAGAATGATTCGTGCTTTCCACAAGAAAGTAAGAGCCAAAATATTCAAAATTGATCAGTTAGTTCTCAAACGCATTTTCCCTCATCAGGATGAGTACAAAGGGAAATTTGCACCAAATTGGCAAGGACCCTACATGGTTCGCAAAGTGTTATCTGGAGGTGCATTGGTCCTGTCAGAGATGGATGGCACAGAATGGCCGAAACCGATCAACTCAGAAGCTGTTAAGAGATATTATGTGTGAAGTTTTAGTTTGTATTTCTGTCATTTCCTTGTAATCGTTCTATTTGCTTATAATCGTTTTGTTTAGAACTTTTTCCTTTTGTAATGAACTACGTCTGACCTGAATTCTCAAGAATGAGATAATGTCGGACTCGGTCACCCCCTTTATCCTTTTTAATTTGTTTCCTTTCATATTCTTGAACTATGTTCGACCTGAATTCTCAAGAATGAGATATGTATGCAGCCTATGTCGGCCTCAGTCGGTTCTTTGTTTTAGTTTCTTTTTTTTGTTAATCCTAAAAGGGGGAACTACGTTTGACCTGATTCCTGCCTCAACGGGATACGTAGGCGCCATAACGGCTCGGTCATATCTCCCGTAAAATTTCTATTTTTCCTTACAATAGAAACTGGACAGAATTTTTGAGAAAGACTCAAATTTTCAAGAAGAAGATCTCTCCAACAAGTCAAGACTGCAGTTACTTTGAGATTTGCAACTGGGACAGAATTTTTGAGAGAATCTCAAAAATACCATGGTTTCCTCACCAACAGTTAAGGATACGTTAAGGCTAAATTGGAACAGAAATAAAAAAAATCAACGAGGTTTATCGGTAGTTTAGAGCAACTTTGAATACTTCCCAACAAGTAATCGGATAGACCTCGAGACATCAATTTCAAAGGCGTTCATTAAGCTTGACGTGACATGACTCTTGACAGTGACCTTTTCCAAATACTATTTTTTTTTTGAAAATTTATTTTCCTTAAAACTTTTCCTCCATGTTTTAATTATTTTTGCATAAAATTTTTTTGTCTTACCTATCAACAGGGAGATAGCAAGACAAGGAGCAGACAACCGAAGAGATCGACACAAATCAGTTCATTTTTAAACTAACAATTTTTCTGTAGGTGCAGGTCTATAAGTTTTTCCTCAAGATCAGCATATTCCTCCATTCAATGGATATGGAGAAGTCGAAAAGGCGAGGAGCTCCCCAAAACTTTCTGTGGATGCAGGAAACATTTTATGTTTCTTATGTGAAAGATTTGGGAATATGAATAACGTTATTTCATTCAATTCCCAACAAGACGAAGTCCATAATGATCATGCAATTATGTTCGGAGATTGAACAAATGAAAACCTTGAAGAAAGTAATATTGTTGTTTTCCAGCAACTAAAGATATTTGGAGGACATTATCTGCATCACATCGTCAGAAATGATAATACTACTACCCGGAGAGTCATCTATATTGTATTGTCAAATGATATGATATCACTATCCACAGAGTTATTTATATTGTATTGTCAAATGAGATGATACCAATACTCAGAGGGTCATTTTTATATTATCAAATGGGACGATATCGGCACTCAAAAAATACCTAGAAGATCACCTATGTTGCTCGGTGAAGCATTATCTTCATTCGGTACCGGGAACGACATCATCAAAAAATCCATGCATTGCATAAGAAGACTCATGCATCGCAGAGAAGATTCATGCATCGCAGGAAGAGATTCGTGCATTGCAAGAGAAGATTCATGCATTGCAAGAGAAGATCCATGCATCGCGGGAAGAGATTCATGCATTACAAGAGAAGATTCATGCATGGCAAGCGAAGATTCATGCATCGCGGGAAGTGATTCATGCATCACCGGAAGTGATTCAAGCATTGCGGGAAAAATGTCATGCATCGCGGGAAAGCGATTTGTGCATCCCAAGAAAGGAGTCATGCATCACAAGAAAAAGAGATATGCATCATAAGAGAAGGAGCCATACATTGCAAGAGGAAAGAGTCGTGCATTGCAAGAGAAAGGATCATGCATCGCAAGAGAAGGAGTTATGCATTGCAAGAGAAAGATTCACCCTTCACAAGAAGATCAACATCGACTGCATCATTTTTCTTTGCAAAAACGACATCAAGAGAACCATCAACAACGACAACAAGAGAACTATCAACATATTACATCAGCTTATTTTATTACTTCTACATCAAAGAAAAAGTACATTGAAGATTATATTGCAAATATGAGGCATAAGCTTTATTTGCTTTACGTTAAGTCTGATGAAGTTAACATCAACTGTTCAAGGAGAAAAATTAAGTATCAACATGGTAAAAGACGCTATCTCCCCATTTGAACTACATTTTTTTATGCTAATGAGTTTTATCTCAGTCTTTGTCGAGAGCATCCGAAAGGATGAATTCTTCAAAACAAACCACAAGTGCGGACGACATAAAAAAAAATGCAGCACAACGTGGAACTTTTTCTTAGCAGTGAACTGGGACATAGTCCAAAGAGGAGTGCCAAAGTCTTAGGACGCGACCGGAGGAGTGACTTCCACCACAATCAAACCACACCCCTATCAGAAGACATGTGGGTTTTTCTTTGGGTTTGTCTATTTCAATTTTGCATCCGAAAATTTTTGGTCTCCACCGAAAGAAGCTTTCCAATCGGAGTCACAATACGCCAAGAGCTATGGAAATTATGTATGTGCAAGTTCTTATTTATGGGTGTGAAACATGCCACATTCATGGCTAAGAGGTTGCAAGCCTCCTTTTCATACTCGACTTATTTGTCACTCCTTCCCAACCGAAGGATATCTTAGCATAAGAGATTTCCTTTTCAACCTATCGAGTCGAAATACAAACAACTTGATTCCTTGAGTTGAAGGATATGTAGGCAGGATCAATGTTGAAAACTCAGTTGTATTCCGATACTCGTTCTTAAATCTTATTCTCAAGTATTTCGGTCTCTTCATAATCCGATATCGGGATAGCTTATGAACTCTTTCAGAATCGTGCGTTAAGTCAAACGTATCGAACTACAAGTGGCTTAAATTCTCATATAGCCTGAGATATGTAGGAAACCCATTTTCGGGGTTCAGCCATAATTCCTAAAGTCCGTACCAAAAACCCTTTTCCAAAAGATGAATATGTAGTCGGTCAAAATTTGATTCGTCAATTTCATTTTTCTCGAATTTCTTGCATCAATCCGAGTAAAACAAGGGACAGTTGTTGACACCCAATTTTGACCCTCCCCGATAGGAATTCATTTACGAGCTTCTTAATTTCCAAACGATTTAGAATAATTAATTTTATAAAATTCAAATATTTTTCAAAGTCATCTTAAGTGATTTTGGTCGATTTTCATAATTTATAACTAATATATATATTTCATATAATTTTATATATCTATAATTAGTATAATCTATAAATATTTAAAAATCATCTCGAAAAGATTTAATTTTAAATATTCTATTAAAATTAGTTTAGTTTAAAGTTAGGGTTATAACTTTTTATCGATTAGTTCATAATTAAGTTAGTTATTTTATTTTGTTAAGATTAAGAAGCTCAATAATTAATTTATATGATTTCATCTTGTTTAGATTTTAGCCGAATTTGTTAATTTAACTCGATTTGGCTATTGTTTAAACTCCGAAATCTAATCAATCTAATTTTATCCATAACCCATTTAAAAAGACAAAGAATTGGGGCCTTTCTTTAAATTTTCAGCAACCCAGGCCTATTTTCTTCCCCATTAACCAATATTCAGCAACATCAAACATTAGCAATACCAAAAGCCCAAAACACTATCAGCAATTTCCTGCCAATCAACTCCAGCAGCCCATACCAATTCTCCAATCTCTCAACCCAGCCCACTCTCTTTACCTCCAACCCGGCCCATTCCAAAGCAATAGAAACCAGGAGCAGCAGTACAACGTCAAATATCACAGCGATACACAGCGTAACAGCAACAGCGACGCGTAAATAACGCCCATACGACCCTTACACGCCTTATCCTCATTACGCGAAAAGTGAGTTCACGAAAACTGGCAGCCAACTTTTGTTTTCCTACATGACGCCTATGCAAACAACTTTATCTGCGTCTCCCTCGTTCGTACAGGAGGGGCAGCCAGCTTTCTCTGCAATAGCCGCCTGCAACCTCGTCCTTGACTCGCGTGGATTGGTGCCACGTCGAGCTCCAAGGACAAAGAATCCATCGAGGCCGCTCAAGTCCACTTCACCTTTTTCTATTTTTCGTCAGAAATCCAGATTTTCTCGTACAAGCAACAGTTCCTTGGTCCTTGGAAAAATATTTGAATCGAAGATTGGATGGGAATTCCCGTTTTTGCCCTTGCCCTCGTCCAATTTTCATCCCTTTAAGCCCCCAAAATCGAAAACCCTAGAATTTCTCTATATAAACCCCGCATTTGCTCAATTAAAGGGGTTGGATTTTTATTTTAGCAAAAAAATACAGAGAAAGGCTTGAGCACTAGTATTTTAAATATAAGCTAAATACGTTTTGGAGGCAGACGATACAATAGTTTTAAGGTGTTTGGGTTCAGTTTTCTGCTCAAATTTCTTATCCACTGTTCGTGTTCGAGTTCTTGTGGTAGGAAGGTCGGCTCCTTGCTCATTCCGTCCCCATTTGCTGCCCTAGAAAAGGTAAAGTTCCTTTCGATGCCAGCTCATTCTGTCTGCTTCTGTTTTGTGAAATGAGAGTTTACGTCTGTTGTTTCCCTTCTTCCCTTTTCTAGGATGCATATGTTATTCTGTTTGGTCTAGTATTGATGTTTAAAGTTTAGTTTTTTTGTTTGATATTGATATGCTTTTAGTTTGAATTATAGAACGCATCTTTCGTGTAAGTCTAACTTCAGGAGCTCTTTAAATAAAAAATTCTAATTTTCCTTTTGATCTTCGTGTTTATCTGGTTTTCTCTACGTGGATATGCAATATTTTGACCCTTTCTTTTGGTCTGTTAATGTCATTTCTTTTCAAAATAGGAGCAGAATTTTTAACTTTAATATGGATTTTGTATGTGTTGTTTCATCCATAGCTCATTGATCTGTTGGCCTGTTTTTTTCATTTTTTTTAGTCCCATGATTATTTTAAATGTTAGAAATATATGTTACGCTCGAGTTCATGTTTCTTCTGCCTAAATGTTTAGTCGGAAATGTTCACCATTCGTAGTTAAACTCATATGACACGAAGTCTTGTTATCGCCCAGACTATAGTTTGATTCAATCCTTG